ATACTCAGTCAGTCACTTAGCCGACTTGGGTTGCAGCAGATCTTGCGCGGTGATGATATGATGACTCAATAGGTAGCTTGGTGATGTGAGAACAGTTGGGATGGAAGAGCTTAGTGACTCCAAGCGTAGCTGCCAGGTGTTGATCTATGCCTTGATGGGAGCCCTTCAGGCGATTTCGACATGTGTCATGTTTCCCAGCCCTACATCCATCTAAATCCACTGGTTTATCATATTTTTCTCATGTTTTCCGTATTAATTTAGAAATGGCTATTTGTGAGTATCCCCATATTTTCAGGCAAAGCCCAGATGAAAATGATGACACCATGATTGAACAGATAATTTCTGAAGCTTGACAGCTCCAAATCCATCAACATATGACAGGAGATGGGCCTAAGCTGAGGATTGTTGCAACTCGAAACGTGCGAAACGGTGAGGCATTGTCATCCCTGCGCTATTGTGGCACAGGCCAGCTGGGTTGGAGGATGTTGGCGGCGAAAAGTCGTTGCTTCGTTGTTTTTTTTTGGTTGGTGACGGTGAAGGACACGAAATGTCTGCGTTTTTCTTGGGTCTCATTTCTTTCTCACATTTCTCACACGTCACTTTTGGTGAAATCCCATCTTTCGATTCCATCACAATTTGTCTGATGTTTCTTGAGAAATCTTGAGAATTCTTGAGAAATTCTCGCGTTTGCCTGTGCTGGGGTCAAAACCATTCCTTTCATCTAGTGCTCGTTGAATTTGAATCCCTGCCTTTCGCTGTTCAAATCCGAAAGTCTTGTCATTTCTGGCCTTGAATCCATCAACCCAGCGTCAAAAGTCAAGAGTCAAAGTCTTGAATAATGTCAACCCTGGATCACTAACCCTTGGTATCCCTTGGTTGACTAAATGGTGGCTTACCCTCATTAAATGACGCAACCTGCGCGGCACGATCCAGGTCTGGAGCCTCTTGCACCCAAAGGTGGTGTTGGACGCCCTGGGAAAACTCAGATGTGGAGGTGATATGTCCTTTCATTTTTCTGGAAACAATATCTTTACATGGGTATACATAAATATAATGATATATATATATATAATTGTATATGCATATATATATGTGTGTGTGTGTGATGATGATAACATGTATGTATGCATGTGTGTTTGTGCTCGGTTCCAAGTTGTCAACTGGTCAGTTTTGTCTGTGATTTTGACCCCTTCTCACTTTTTTGTTTTTCTGCAGGGCCCTTGGCCCAGAAAGACCCATGTGGACGCAGCCTCAGAGTCCAAGGTCTTGATTTTCCGAGGGCTTTGGGTACCGCAGGCTGGTGATATACCACTGGAAACCTCACCTTTGCGGTCCCCTGGGTCCAATTCTTTTTTCGGATATGTTTTTCTTATTTGTGCCCATCATTTGGCATTGGAAAACCCTCGGCTTGATGATTTGTAGATGCTTTTCTGACGGAATGCATAAAAAATACATGTTTCAACATGTTTCAGAGGAAACACCTCGTATCAGTTTCTGCGCCTGTCTCGACCATGGGGACCCCCTTTTCTCGGTTCCAGCCAGTTTTTGAAGGAGTAGACCCTGCCGGATTGGGCTTGGAAGATCAGTTTCTACTAAAAAAAAATGGGTTATTCACATTGGAAAGTAAGAAGCCTTTGCTTTTCCATAAATCATCATAAATCCATGATAGTTTCAGAGACATCCAATGATGCGACCTGATCACAGAAGCCATGGAAAACTTCGCTGAAAATGAATTCATTCCTCAATCTTGTGCCATTTTTGCTACAATTACTCGACATGTTGATTTGCTTGTGTTCTGTTCATGTTTGGCTGCGTTATCCCCTCATCTAGCTCAATCTTGGATGGGGTGCTTAGTACTTCCATGTTTTGCCATACATGTTGATATGCTACGTACTATCCATTTGTTTTTTAATTGCAGGGTATCTAAGATTGGCAATGACATACCCTCTGGTCATTCAACAGGTTCCTATGATTTCCTATGTAAAATCACCGTTAAAAACGAGTTTTTATACATCATTTGTCAGTTAAAAAAGGCCATAGCTTCAGCCTGGCTTGGCTCAACCACCGGGACCAAACATATCATTATGAAAGATCCACATTCCGTGACATTCTTTTCACCGAATCCCCATCTTTTGTTGTGAAACGAGGCGATTGAGGAGCACTGGGCCGAACATAGCTGGGCCTTCAACTCCTTCTCGCGTAGCCCGGAGGCCTGGAGGAGGCCCGGCGGAGGCCCGGAGAGCCTAGCGACCTCACTGTTCTACCGAGCCCTGGGAATCATGGTTTTTATCTGGGGAATCATCCCCTTTTATGGCCTTAAGATTCAGCTTAGTGAAATATTATCATTGACCCAGATAGATATACCCTCTGGTTATTTAACATAGCCATGGTATAGATGGCCCATAGAAATAGATGGTTTACCGTTCTTAAAAATGGGTGGATCTTTCCATGGCGAACTGTTAAATAACCGGAGCGGATATGATATCAATCCATAGCCAATCTATGAATATCTATGGTCTCATTTTCTAGATCTAGATATTGATAATTTGATAGATGATTAAGGAAAACCACCCCTTTGAATGGTGATGTTCCATAGGAAACGGTAAAATTACCAGAGGGTAGTTTGATGACCCCGTGTAGAACAGAGAAAGTTGATTTCAGCCCAAAAAAATAAAACAATCAAAAACAGAAAAACCAAAAAAACAACTCGACAGGAAGAGCCACCAGAAAAAACAAGAATCAAACAAACAAAAAATAATAATAATAAAAACTGCATTTTCCTCAGTTTTTGTTCTTGTTTTTGTTTCTTGTTTTTCTGGTTCGCGTGTTGTTGTCCTTTTGTTTTTTTCTTGTTGTTTCCTTGAATTTGGTTTTCTGTTTTTTTTGGGGGGGTTTTGCTCTGAAACCCTATATTCTGTGTGCTGCTGGGGTCATAAGGGTAGTCATTGATTTTAAATCAACAAATCCATACAAATCCAACTTTGAAAAGTTTATGGGACCAACACTTTTGACCTCCAGTTGTGGGGCCAGAGCTGGCCAATCCTCTTTCCAGTCCCATCAGGGAGATTTCATCTCACCATAAACCAAGGCATCGACGGAGTGCTGTCAGTGCCAGGGTCCAATTGGGCGCCATGGTTGGCCTGGATGCCGACTCAGCTTGACTTTGGGGGACAATTCATGGGTATTCATGACCCAAAACCATCCAAAACCTTGGGAGAGGAGGTCACAAGTGTCACAACCCTCCCAATGGGATAAGATGGATGAGGAATCGCGCGTCCTTTTGGCTCAGTGTACTCACGAACTATCCAAACCACGCTTCAACCGACTTGCCTATCTATCGAATCATGTACCTTGGCCAAGTTTCGCTTCCCAGATCTTACCAGAATGGATGGGATTTGTCATAGGTAAATCAGCGAACTAACTCGGCCATGGATTCGCTCAGCCCAAGCCACAACTGAGGTACTGCAGCATTTTCTACTATTCCATGCTCGCCCTCGTCATGCAGATACGTGTGGCGCAGGGCCTACTTCTCAGAGGCAACAATGCCACTGTTCCTTTCCCAGCAATGCGATGGAGTTTGTTTTTGGTAGTTCTTTGCTCAAAAGGACCCCCAAAAAGCAATAAGGCCTTTTGTTTCAGGGGCTTTTTACCTGCCAACCCCCCTGAATGTGGCTGTTTGAAACTTTATTGTTGGAGAGGGCTTTGGGGCGCTTGGGTTCCCTAAGATTTACTGTACATGATATTTGCCTCCATGCAACCAGGTATGATTCATCATAATTACATATAATTACGCCCTACGGAGGCTTACTTTCTCAAGGAACCACATATCTCCAATATGGAAGGACATGCGCAGCGAACAGAGAGCATCAAAATGCTTCAAGCATTGATAGAAACTCTTGATTTGTCGAGGCTCATCCTGATGATCATTCACACCCGGAAATTGCTCACTTCAAAGACATACTGTACAGAGAGAAAGATCTTTTCTATGACTTTACAATATGCCAAGACTCTCAAAGCACCCAATAAGAAATGAGAAAAACAAACTTATTGGGTCAATGGAGTGTTTTTTTGGTCATTGATTCTTGCAACACCTCCCCCTTTCAGCCCCCTTTCATTCCAGGCAACGGTCCCAGGGACAAAGATGTGTGAAGTGCTAAAGAATGAGGAGACGTATTCATCCGTGAAGGTATCGATTCTTGGATTTGTTGATTTTTGTGGTTTTTGTTGGTGTTTGATGTTTGGCCCTAGCGCCCCCCCAAAAAACTTAATGCTTTGATGATGTTATTATATATACATATATAGGAAAGAGAGAGAGAGAGAGGGAAGATGTTTTTGATAGGTTCAGATTTGTTTCATGGTACTGTTGATGAGGTTTGTTGAGTTTTGATGTTTGATGATGATATGTTTGACGGACTTGTTTTTTTTTGATATGTTCGATGAGATTTGGTGATGTTTGATGATGTTTACTTATTTGATGAGGGTTGATTTCCGATGAGCTCATCTTATCAGTTTGGTGGATCCAGCGTTTGACCAAAATCTGCCAGGATGAAGCCTTTTCCCCCCCAGAATCACAGAGATACAGAAAAGTAGTGTTATGAACTATGAAAAATAGAAAAGTGAGCATCACACTGTCGCACATATTATATATATATACATATGGCTTCTCCTCGTAGGACGGCTGCGGACAGGCACGCCCGACGAGGGAGAGAGAGAGATATGTATATATACCTAAGGCAACAAAAACCTTCAATTTTTTGGTCGTAAGGAAAAAACCAGGTTATTCTAAAAAACCTGGTTTTTGAATATTGTAATTTAGAGGGTTTGTTATTAATCTATATTTCCCCTTACTTGAAGGTTTTTGGATGCCTTGGAATTCATGACCATACACATGGTAGTTGATGAATCAGGATTGCTGCATACATAATCTCTCGCACACATCACCCCAATGCACCCACTGTCACACAATCCTTTCTTTTCCCAGCATTGCCCTTCAGCTTCCATCACAACAAGAGGCCCGCACGAACAAAAGCACTATGAGCTGAAATTAAGTACCGTTGCAGCGTTCTCGTCATCACCAAGCGTATATTTACGCGGCGACTTAAGCGCGAAGTTCTTCCCACTGTGTCCTCGTCGACCTGGCACGAGAACATTAAAGGATTGATTGCCATACCAACACGTTGTCCATCATGTTGAACCTGAAGGATTGTCTCATGGTAAGCATGAAGCTTAGGGTACAAAGGAAAATTCCAAGGACAACCTTCCTGGAATTGTGCTCTCGCCATCTTTGAATAAACTTGAAGAAACCGAAGGCCTTTTGCAGATACATAAATGCACTCTTCTTTGCTCAAAAAAGCGTCCGCTCTGAACAAGCATTCAAACAAATTGTTCATGCAACATGTCGCCTCCTGGCATTCTGGCAACAATCTTCTGGTGTCACATGGCAATTTGCCAATGATTTCCGCAAGCCATAGCATCAAATTTGTTGTAAGTGCGCCTTTGTGAAATTGGCCCATGGTTCCCGTTTTGTCTCCATAGCTCATGAGATATGGAGTGATGGCACTGATGTGCATTTGCTTTTTGTTTCTCCTGCACCAAGTTCGGTAATCTTCTGTCAAAAAAGACCATTTTGCATCCAGATTGGGTTGATTGATGACATGTAGCAGCAAGTGTACCACAGATGCTATCCAGGATCGACCAAACCCAAGATGAACCACATGCCAAATGTCAGTTTGAAAAAACGTAGAAGGGTCAGCTCTGCTGTGGACCAGATGTTGGATTACACTTGGTGTAGACAACCATGGCACACGGATCCCTTGAGTCTGCAACCACTTTGGTAGATTTGTTGCAATCTCCTCTGCAGGGAAGCCTGGTGTTCCTGCTAAGCATCGGTGGCAGACCCCCTTAGGGACACTTTGCGCAGATCCTCTCTTCACGGTGGTGTTGTAGCTGCGGTAAAACTTGCCCATTTTTGCCAAGTATGGGGCATCGCCCTTCACTGCTATGATTGCTACCCTAAGTGTGTCACCAGTCAACGGATCCACAACACCCTCCAACAAAAGGCTTCTCAATGACAATGCCAACTTATCCATCATCTTGTGGAAGAAAGCCGGGTTGCTCTCATACACAGTTTTTGGCATAGTTGAAGTCACAAAGCGATGGGTGAAGGAATGACCCTTATAGTTGACTTTCATGTGCCACCTTCCATCATCCCGTCGACGAAGGTGCTTGGTATCAAACCCAAGCCCCAAGCATGACTGTATGCTTGTAACCATGAGCCCGTGGCGCTTCAGTGTCCTGCCTTCGTCACCATGGATCATAAATGCAGCGGTCTTGGAACGGTCGATGTCTGGCAGGCTGAACAACTCAAAGTCTGGACAAATTTTTTCGTATTCAGTCCAAAAGTTGGACCAAATTTCACCAGCCACTGCATGCTGGTGGAGGGGGGCACCTGCCAATCGGGGCCACAATCCTTTTCTAATGATCCAGATCAACCAGTCACGTGGTGAAATCCATGGGACTTTGACATCCTCTATTGTCACGTGACTGATTGGAACATCTAACGTAGTCTTTTGTTTTTTGGTAACCCGGTGAACATCTCTTTCCGAATTTGACAGCGAACACCTGGACCACAAATTGATTCCCTTTTGGGTCGCCACAACATCTCCGACGTCGTCTTTGACAGCTTGTGCTGTCAAAATCTGGCTCTTGCAGGTGGCCTCAGAACGCGCAAGCGATTGAAAAAAATGAGCCTTTGAGTGTATACATTTGACAATAAAAGGGCTGGCATTTGAAGGCAATATTCATTCTCAATTCCACCCTGCTGTGATCAAATGGATGCGACCGCGCGCGCTTTGTTTCAATTCCCATCGAGCTTACGTAAATGGCAATGAATTTCTTACCTATCCTGTACTTGCCGCAAATAAGACATGAGGCTATGATCCTCATGTTGTCGCAGCGCTCTGATGAGCCATGTGCACAGCATCATACCACTGACTAATCATTGCGACTCTTCATTTCCAAGGATGCCGCTGAATTTTGTCGACCACTTAAATGCCAAAAAAAAATACGCTCACCGTCACCGTCCCACTCATTTCCTGTAGGATCTTCTCTCAGGACGTTCTCGCACCCAGCACAACCTCAGCAGCACAAAACTAGCGCCGCCTACTAAGTGCCTATTCCCACCCCCACACACACACGCAGACACACACCTGTGCGCAAAATTACATAGTGCTAACTTACCAACAGCTAGGGCCGACTGCAGCTTTGGAACATATGATTTTGAAACTTGAACAGGTGCAGGAAAAACATAGCACTCCGACTTTCAGACGTGATCTTGCCAATGACTGTCAACAGTATCTTCAAGATGCATTTGCCAGAGTGTTAGTTCTTTTATCAGTCCACATGGGCCATCATTTCTGAACTTGATGTGGGTGAACATGTTCCAAGGTTACATATGGCAGCATCTAATGGGGAGCCAAGAAGACAAAGAGCACACACAGGAATATAGATCATGTATGATAATTTATTTTGGATTACTATGCGTGCAAGATTACAAATATTCACATATATATTATATATACTGTGCACATGTGCATCAGGGTGTTTTCCGCCCTAAATTCATAATGTGGCCAAGGCGCGGTTGGCCACATATTTTCCTCCTTGCTTCTGTCTGGAAAATGTTGAACATGGAGCTCCAAAATGAACTACCTTAGTTACAGAGACACCGGGTCCACATGACTAAGTCAGAAGCCCGTTGCCAAACATATGGTCCAAGATGTTTTTGATTCAGAAAGTTAACCACACCATCGAAGTTGGACTAATTACTGTAGCCCACATACTTCTTGGATTCCATCACCAGCGTGTTTTTTTTGACAAGGGGCTGGCATGTACCAGGCGAGTAGATCTAGAAGCACTTTTGCAGTTTGAGTCGACATGGGATCAAGGGCACGAACTTCCGAACCATAAAAAACCTGAGTAAATATATATAATATTGATCATCATTAGGTTACCAAAAAAATACATGTAGCTCACCAAACTATGTGTTGTTTCTGAAGGATGTACCTTGATCCAAACACATAGGGTTCAAGCAAGATGCATCTTCCCAAATTTGAAACGTGCAAGCATGAACTTGACCCGGTTTTGGAAAATTCAAATATATTATTATGTAGATTTATGTAGTATGGATTCATGATGATTCTGAATTGTGTATATCATACAGCTCGATATTTTTCACTAGGTTCTCAATACCTTTCAGTTGGAATTGAGCGCATGGCGCCCTCGCCAACATTCGCTGCAAATCTCTTTGCAGATGCGCCAGTGACACCTGGCATTGCATGGCCGTGTTGGCAAAGTGGCAATGGGGAGGTTAAGAAAGAGGTTGAAGATTTGGCAAGTAAGCATATTTTTTTTTCTACGGCTGGATTCCTGCTTCAGCAAAACACAGCCAATCTGAGAGCTGCATGTTTCTTTTTAATCCATGTGAATCAGGCAGATGAATGGTGCCGTGTTGGCAAAGTTTTGAAGCCTGATGCCCAGCACCGAAACCAAACACTAATCAAATTATGTTCAACAATGTTCAACAGAAAAAATGCTACATCTTAGAATTCATCCATTGGCCGCATAATGCCAAGCTCAGGAAATGACATCCTAGATCGCAAATTGCTGTCGTGTAGAATTGACACGACAAGTATGTTCAAATTAGAAATTGTACACCAACTCCTACTTAGAGAAACCCAAGTTTAGGTTGGCAACCCCCCAGCCATTCATCTGGAATGGCCAAATCAGGAAGCTTCCTCTTGCTTCGGCTCTTTCTGAACCTTCTTGAAATGGCGCTTTGCGTTCCTAAGGGTCGACACTGTTTTCAATAAACAAAACCAATTCACACATGATTGAACATGATTTCAGTTGATTTTTAGTTCGTAAGGGCATCAAACGAGGTGTTATGCACACACACGCACACAGAATGAGACATAGGGTCAAGCAAAGGTTCTTTACATTAACACACGTGCTGCTTCCAAGGATTTGCATTAATCTGCGCTGACTGCTGACTTCGGAAGCTCTAAGTCAAAGGCCGAACCTTGGCTTCGTTCTGGGACACTCTGGTGCACCTTGGGAAAAGCGGTGTCAAATCAGAAGAATACCGAGCTTATAAACTTTCATCAGCCCTCGGGATTATCCAATAGAGAACCTTTTACCCAAGAAATGAATATACCGCCCTAAATCAGGAAAAGGCACACGAAGGTCGAAGCTTTCATGACTTTCTCAGACTGGACGGACCACCTGGGATTCAAATGCGAAAATTGTTTACATTTCAAAATTATCAACATAGCAACCAAAATTTAAGCAACAAGTGTCGCTATGCTCCCGAACAGAAAGATTGATGGCAAACATAGTTGAACTCATCTTAACATATATACTATATGATACAATGTATATCTTGGACGTCTAGCCACTCGGGCGAAAAGTCCTCTTGCTCACCCTTTGCCATGTGATCTGAGAGCGAATTGTACTCCTGACCGAGAGTCTTCAAGTTGCCTTCCAAGGCCTCTACAGCCCTTAGTCGATCAGAATGGTCCATGCCATCAAGGCTGGGTGAGAATCGAGTTCGGGTATCCTACAAAAAAAAATAAAAAGATGCAAAGCAATCAGAACTATGATGGTAGCTAAGTATCTTCATTGCTGTTTCGTCTTCATAGTAGTTTTTTTTTCAAGTCCACCGTCAAGGATCTGACTCGGGCACTTTTTTGAAGAACCGAATCCACAAACTTGCGAAAGACTTCTTTGGCCCGGCATGCCTGACATGCTTGATCATGATTTTGATCTTTCAATCTAAAATGTTCGAATCAATATGTTTGGATTGTTTTGCAATACAGCTGGCATTGGGCTCCAAATACGCAACATAGATTGATACCAGGTAACATCAATATAATTTATTTTGACAAGTGAAATCTTACCAATATCATGTTCCATTATCTTTTTTATAGTAGATATGGTGAGTCTTGCCTCAGAAGCTTCCACCACTGGAGCACTGGTGGCAGCTGCATTGCGGGCTGCTTGAAGATCAAGTCGTTCAAGAGTGACGCTCTGCAGCTCGCTCTTGTCGTCGCCCTGGCAGGTGAGATGCGGATATGGTGGACTGCTGATTTCACGAACTTTTTTGGGGTATGTCATCAAGACTCTTGGATACTTACTGCTACATGGCTGGAGCAGGGGCGGTCCTGGGTTCGCTCCACTGTGGACTCAGCATTTTCATTGGATTGCTTGTGTTTTCCCGTCTCACGCACATCAACATGGTATTCATCTTCGCCACCATATTTGCACCTCCTACAGGGTATATATAATAGAAAACAAAAAGTAAACAAACGGGCTGTGAGATTGTTTGTGGTCAACTACATTGAAACATAATATGATCTATTTTGGTAACCCACCCATTCCTGATCAGGTTCTTGGGATCTCTCTCGCAACACTTGATTGCTCCTTCAATTTTCTTCCTGGGATTTGAATTTGGAAGGCTCCAGACAAAAAAAAATAGGTATTGGAAACAAGTGGTAAGTGGGAACTCTTGGCAATGTCTTAGTTCGTGGGTTCTTGTTTTTTAGTTCAACATATCAAAACATATGCTACCGAAGGTGTAGTACAAAAAAAATATTTCTGATGGAAGAATCGTATTCCATTTGAGAACCTTCACCATGTCATCCTTGGAGTACCACCCAAATTCCAAATCGTTGGTGGTCGTGTCTTTCTTTGTCGTCGTTTTCTCGGTGTATTTGATGAAAGCGTCCTGCAAGGATCAACTTTGACTGGCTGATCAATATCCTGATTGGACTGGATCTTGCTACGACAACTGGTAGCATGGTGTCATTGCAACTTGGCTTACGGAGAGAAAAACAACACACTCCTTGTCGAAATTGCACCGCTGAAATTGCAGCGCCATGGCCATGTGATCCCCGTGTTTCCACTGCTGGTGAAGCCAATCTGGCACATTACATTTTCCATTGGCTTTGATTTCGCATAACCTGCGAAGCTTCGCTTTCAGTGCATTTTCTTCCTAAGTAGCCGTGTTTGGGAGCATCTCAGGTGATGGTAAGATAACCTAACTTTTGGGAACTTAGCATATAATAATAACATAATAACAGTTTTGACAAATGAAAACACGTGGAACTTATACTAATCAAGATTCCATCTTGGCTTTTTTGGCCTGTTCAAGTACATCATCCAAGTCTGCGGGGGCAACTGACGGGGTGATGCTATCAGCTGGTCTCTTCTGGGGCAAACCATTGTCTCCTGCAGGGGTGGCCCCCTTACCCCCATCCACCGGGGGCGACTCATTGGGTGATAACCCCTGACCCAAGAGCTGCATAGCAACATTGGCATCGATAGTGCCAGATTGCCACATCGTCACGATGCGGTTCATCACCTCAGGTTGACAAACACAGCTGTTGTCAAGGCAGTTGTATATGGTGAATTATGTTGAGAAATTGCACATCGTTTATTTTTGGGAAAGACATGGAAAGACAAAATATGTTTTCTGAAACGCTGGTGATTTAAGCCGATGTATTGTCTAAATCCTGACGGGGTTGAACCAAAAAAATATGATTGAATCAAAGGACATCACTTTCACCCACTCTAGATGCCGACGGTGGCAACGAGGAAGCAGGGGATGGTGGCGAAGCAACTCTAAGTGTAGAGTCACCTGAGGGTGAACCTGCCGCTGAACCCTTGACATCCTCATCACTTGCAGGCACAGTATCATGTCGCTCAGGTTCTGCAACATTTGGTAGACCAGGGTCTTCACGACGCTGAGGTGTAGCCTTAAGCGGGAAACAATGTTAATTATCAACACACTCTGGTTGAAAGATATAATATATATTCCTAACCTAAAGTTAACAAAAACAACCGGTGCATCTTGTGAGAGCATTAGTTAGAGCATGTGTGACTTAACGCTCCTCAAGGTTTGTACTGCAAGTAGATCTTGATTTGTATTAAAGACCCCCATGTTATTTGCATGCTCACACTGTTTGATTCTTAAATCATCCACATACAGTTCAGGTCTTGCAAACTAGAAACCACTGTGTTCACGTTCATGAGCTCAGCCAAGGCAACTTCCTGAGCACAGGGTGGGCCCAGCGCTGCTTGGTGAATTCCGTATGTTGGCAGCTGTTGGAGGTGGCATACAGTGGCATCCCAACAAAATCGATATGTGGACTGGTCGCTCACTAGCAATGAACAATGGGGTGATTCAAGATTTCAACTTCTAATAGGGTGTAAGTTTTGGAATGTATATAGTGGAATATAGTTGAAAATTATGTGTAAAAAGATATCAAATAGATCCTGATAGAACATTATATAATTTTCAAACTTGCCAACGATATAAGATATAACCCGTAACTGTAGGATGCGTTGAGTCCCTGACTCCTTGATCTACTGCTTCGATGTCAGCAATCATCTTTTCCAGCTCCTGCCGACCAATAGCCAGGAACTATGTGGAGAGGTACTGTTTTGATTTTACTTTAACTTTTGACATCTACTAGCATAGTTTCCAAGTCCAAATAGAAGCAACACCAGCAAAACAAGGTGTGAGGATGACAGCTCACCTATAGCCAACCCGCCCAAAAGGCCTCCAGTTGAGCCAAATCGTCAGGAAGTTCATTCTTTCCATCGGTTAGGATGTGTGTAAGACCTCTTCCCAAATCCGAAGTAGACCAAGCTCTGGATAGCATGGTCGCCCCCGACCCAGCCCGCTCAAGCGACATGTTGTCTCTCAAGAAAGCGTCGTTTGGAGCCCAAAATCCTATGGTATGCAACACTGAAAATAAGAAATTGTTGTTGGAAACATTTGTGACACCAATTCAATGAGCATAAAGACACCTCAGTGTATGGTTTGTGTTGTTCTTTTTCTCCCATTTCATGCTGCAAATCATCGCTAATTGTTGTTCAATTGCGATTCGCATATATTGATACGAACCAAATTCTAATTGTGTAAAGCAATCCCTGAAATTTGGCTGCAAATGCCATCCACATATCCAAAGTGGTTGCCAGATTCGAAAAAAAACGAACATGAATCAACATAAAGTGAACATAAAAAAGCTTAAAAAAAACTGGTTTTTTTTGAAAATAACCATAATATTTTATGGGTAAATTACGGAATTTTATGGGTATTTTACGGAAAATTACGGGTGCCAAATTATGGGTAAAAATTACGGGGTAAAACTGGAAAAAAACATATGTTTTTTTTTCCTCATTATGGGTATTTTACGGGAAAAACCAGGTTTTTTTCATAATTACGGTGAATTACGGGTTATTTTGAACATAAATGAACACAGATGATAAAAACTTATATCTTGAAGTGCTAACTTCGTATTGGCAACCTATAGACTTGTGGTCAGGGATCATAACTTCCTGGGCAAAAGGTCATAAAATGAAGCAGGTATCTTTAGGGATGTTCCCCCCCTCAGCCAATGACAGACTGAATCCATTCTGGCTTCAGTCCACAAGTCGTCAAACGTAAGACTACTGAAAGTAGCCTCAGCTGAAGGCAATTGGTTCGGAAGAGGCGGCATTCCCCGCTTCTCAGTGGCCATGCGTTTCCACAAGCCGACCAGCCGCAATCCAAATTTTGGTGGATAATTCCTGAGCAGTAGGGATATAATGGGATATGGACCATGCAGACCCAAACTTCAACCTTTACCTGCTCACTGTCAAACCAATTGTTGAACAAAAAGAAAAGTAAAATCCATAATGGGAAGGTAATCCATTGATAAGAATACAACCAAAGTATTCAATAGTCGTCTACCGCTGCATTTGTGATTCCACAGGGCAATGACCTTTTCTGTGATAATAATATGGAGGTTATTTGATACAGAACTTGTACAATAAGAGTGCAAGTGTGAATCTAAGATATGTAAGTTGATATTTAGGTTAGAGAACAAAAAATGCAATGATGAGCAATGTTTCCATACAACTAAGTACCTGACTCACTGCCACGTAGAGCCTTGTTGCCTTTCCACCTTCTTTTACCTGCCCCATCCGTGTATTTGTCTACGAGTTCCACTGCCTTCCCCTGTGTCTTGAGCTTAGCCTTTGTCTTTGCCCAATTCTTCAACTTCCCAGCCCATAGAGAGGCGACATGAATGCTGTTTGCAAAAGCTATGTGCCGCTTCGGTGTAGGTCCACCGTAATGCAACATATACCAAGTACCACGGTGAACCTCAGCAATAGCAGGGCCCCTGGAGATAGTATTTGTTTTCTTCAAACAGAATGTATAGCATATACAATATTAAAACATAATTTGATAGCACAACTAAAGGATAAGATCTGAACACTTTCATGGTTAAGGTTTCATAGTTTATAGTTCTTCGATTTTTGGTTGGTGTCCGCAATTACCTCAAGACCTTGGACATCTCCCAGGTTGGAACCTACTATGATTTCTACTTCTTTTGGGCTATGCTTTGATGATGCAACTTGTCAGCATTGCTTTCTCTGGAGGGGATAGAGCAGGAAGAGGTTGAGATAAGCAACGGTATGGGGTCCACCAAAGTGACGCAGAACCAGCATGAAATCTCTCCATCTTGGATAATATTCGAACAACGACCCAAAGGGCTGCTCTACCAGGAAGCAACCATTAAGACATACCACAAGCATCATCAGTAGTATAGTCCTTGGTCTTTGAAATGCAGCAATGGAAGCTATCAGCAAATAAATCCACAAGGGAAAAAACATTACCAAGTAACCCCATTGTGGTTAATTGTGGTCAAAGCTATGTTGTTTTTCCTTTGAACCTGCAGCCTATTCATAATCAGCTGATTTTGTTTAGTCCAAGAATCCGTGAAGCCAACAAATTAGCTTCCCTCACTGAACGGTAGGAAGTGTTACCAAATCCCGAGCATGGTGACCGATTGGAAGTTCCAACATTCACTGTTGTAAATGACGAGCGCTTCAGCCCAAAGTGACACAGCCACCCTTCCTCGAAATTGCCTCGTAGCACTGTAGCTATGGCCGTCCTAAGCTCGAGCAGAGGAAACACAATGGGATTTTTCTTGACATGAAGGCTAGTTGAATTAAAACAGATATGAACCATCAAATGTACCCCAAATATGATACAATAACATTTTGGACATATGTACCCACAACATGTGTTCCTCTCATAACTTGCAACCATATGTTTGAACTGTGTTTGTTGTTTCGACTAAATTCCAAAACGTTAGAACTAAGGATTGCGATCTAGTCACCCCATCCCAGCATCTGATGTCAAATCCATCGGATTCTGATGTGCTGCATCACGTGATTTCATGTACACCAGGTCAAGCTTAGCCGTTCGAAATCCCCCATAATTGAACATCCTTGTAGCTTCAGCTTGACCAGCATAGAACTCCACCCAAGAGAAGTTGGCTGTTTCCTTTGGGCGATAAAAAACGCTATTCTTTTGAGGGTTTGCTGAAAATCCTGAAGAAAGCCATTTCATTATTCCATAGATATTTGGATTTACGTCAATACAGAGTAGGCTTTGAAATCAGTCCTCTAGCGATGGAGCAATCTTCAGGTCCGTCCATATCACAAGGAGCACTGCAAAGAGCAGCACCTAAGGATCGAAGCAGCCGGGAAATCCCTGTAGACAACCAAACTAGTGTATGTATTTTTCCATTGGGATTCAATCATCGATAACCATTAGCCTTATGATTTTCTGTTGTTTGTTTTCAACCTAAATTAAATCAGGCTGCCTTTGGTGCTGAGAGTTCTTTCAGTCTCCAGCAGAGCTCATCCACGAATCGAGCAGAGAAAGCCATGGTGTCAAGATACAGCTGAAATTCGTGTCTTATAATCTGATGTTGTCAGAACACATTTGTTTTTTACTGTTATGTATTATGTATTTGTTGGAAGTCACCCCATCCGATAAACTCTGTATGTTGGGGTCACACAATTATTATGTTTTAAATTTGCTATAGAAATTGCATGCACGTATACCCTTCGCTCGAGGTAATGTGGCAGCTACTCACGGCCAGCAGAAATGGTTGTCAAGCAACTGGACAGCACACAGAATACTTATCGGAAGGTCATCTTGCTGTCAAGATGTTTTTCAATTTTAAAGATACCACCCTGATAATTTCTGATGAATTTATTGGTTGATCTGTTGATCTCAACCATTTTTGAGGCACCTAAGTGCCGCATACATGGACAGGTGTGCGAGAGTGTCCTACTGCAAACCAAGTTCAAGGATGTTCTCAACACCTTTCAACAACCACATACGTAATTGTGAGATTGTTCTATTTGACTGTTTTAGAATGCAATATTCGCACAACACCAACTGATATCTTAGATCAAACATGCCCAGCGTACTTGTAGGATCTTTCAGCAGCCCTCGTTTAACTGCCCATTTGTTGCCTCGCAGCGGAGGCATCTGACCTCGGAGATCGGGGCGAGAATGGAGTGTTGGAACCAGTGTCACTGTGGGAAAGCATTACAGTGGGTGGGACTTGTGGGTGCTTTGGGATGCTTTGGGTTGAGTGATGAAACAAAGATTGTTTGAAACCACAACAGATTAATCTTAATAAGGCAAAGAATCTAATATCCCCAAATAGTCTTGCCATTTTGCGAAGTGGAATTTCTTGCTATCTTAGAGGGCTGTTGTGAAAACAAATGCAATGCAAACACTTGTACTTTTCTCTTGGACGCACCATCGCACATATGAGGTTTACCCCATAAGTTGCCCAGCTACCACTTTGGGACCGCCAGAAACCCACCAATTTGTTCTATGGGAACATCGTGGCGCTTCGTACAGGCTGCGCTCCGACATGTTGACCTAAACTATGAAATCAACATGAACATACTAAAATCACAATGTACTTTAGATGGTCGACTATAATCTGAATAGATGGTAAAATCCCAATGAGATGAGGAATTGATATACAAGATTTGCTCCATAGACCATATGTCTCTTACAGCCTGTACATCCCCAGCCCCAAATCTAAGGCAAGCTGTTGGCAAACTACGATCTGCAAAGCTCGATCTTGAACGCACATGTGGCTTTTCTCCGAAGCCAGGCTGCACCAACGGCTGAATCAACACGATGTCTTTTTTTGATATGATTATTCTGATCAAAAATGATGTGGGGCCAGCCAGCATTGGCATAGAAATCAAACAAATGAAGGTCGAGAGTTATAGCAAAACATGCCGATGTTGCAGCACACAAAAACCATAGATCCTTAGCCCTAGCCGTGGCGCTTAGTATACTTCATCGCCACCATGTTGGCATTGTACTTTAACTTGGTTGACATCTTCTGAAAATCAGACAACGGATCCCAGTAATCCAGCAGCTTGTTCTCGTTCTCCAGCATCCATGCCGCCTAGGAGTACAGGGAAAGGGATATACTTGATGATAATATCTCCATGGTTATGACCAAGTAGATACCAGAGTCTTGAAGTTAAATGCATAAAACAAAATAAATTTCGAGAACCATTGTATCGTTGTTTTTGTTTCCGAGTGTATGACATGTTCAGTGCAGCTGGTCATTAGTCATTAAGTGCCAATAATTTTTGACAAAGAAAACCATGTTAGGCGGATTGATCACATCACTTATATCATAATTTCATATGCAATGGTTTTCCCATAAATTACAACAAGTAACCATAAGGGACGCACAAGAGTAGGCCAAGGACATGTTGACGGACCAATCCACGTCATACTTGAATGAGAAGTACACCCAAGTCTCATTCTTCTTGGTCATCAGTCCTACCGAGCCCTCAGACGTTTTCTTCCAGTAGGAAGAAAGGTTGCAGAGCTTGTTGCCACCGGTCATGGTCTTTTTCAAGTAGCCCTTGACGTCATCACTTTCAAAACCATCAACTGAATCGATAGTGTGCTTGAACTTGTCCTGCATGGCTTGGTCCATCATGTCATCCCCCGTGGTTTCAATCACCTGGGTTTCCTTCTTCTTACGGCGCTTCTGCTCCTTCTTGATGGACGGCGATGTCAACTTAGGAGACTCTGGAATGGACTCTGCTTTCGCCTTTGCCTTTGTCTTGTTCTTCGAGCGAGCCTTGGCTTTCGGACGACTGGGGGCACTGTTCGAGCTACCAGCGGTGGCTTCCTTCTCAAGCTTCGATTTCTTGGCATTCTTTTTGTTCCATTGATCTGGCATGTAGTTTTCAAACACCTCGGCCAGCGTCACAGACTTGCCAGTCTTGGGGTCAATGAATGTTGGCGGGGATGAGGATGACTTTGCGCTGGATTTCACTGGACCTCCATCAAAATCATCTCCATCATCCTCCGACACTGCATTGAACAACCTTTTCTTTGGGGTCACCATCTCATCATCATCATCACTGTCCGGTTGAGTCAGTGGAATGTCCTCAGAGTCATCATGCTTCTTTGCTTTGCTCTTGGCTTTGCTCTTGGCTTTCTTCGTCTCACGTTTGGGTTGCGCTTTTGGCTTTCGTTTGGCTGCCGGCTTGGGCTTCTCATGGGGCAAAGGTGCACCAGATTCATCAAGATCTCCATCATCAGGTTCCTTCTTCCCGTTCTTGCCGTTCTTGCCATTCTCAGCCTTCTTCTTCTTCTCCTTCATCTGAAGCTGATCCCGACGGGTCAACACCTAGAGCGGACAAAGTGGTAGACCCGTGCAAGTAGAAGTGGCATGAGGCAGAGGGTATGATGGCCAACACCTACAAAAGCACTAAATTTGAACATTTAACTCCTTTGATTGAAAAATGTAAAATATATCACAAAAAAAAAGGGTTTGTGAAATACCACACCTCACTGACCTCAGGCTCAGTAGACTCATGTGTCGCTGTCTCTGGTGGGGGCGGAAGCGGTTTTGCAGGCAATCCCTCAAAGTAAAAGAAATGATCATTTCGAGGTTGGGTCTCCAAATTCATCCTACCCTCTTCGGAATTTATCTCTTCCTCCAAAGCGGCAACAACCTCCTCGCGTGTGGGCAAGGGCTGGGTCTCGTCCGTGTCCATTGCCGCCTTTTGGGAATCTGTTGGTTTCCCACCTCCTGACCAGAGCATACGATGGAAGTCTTGGTGCTATCATGCTGGAGCACTTCACACCTTGAACGAGGCACAAACATTTTTTGTGAAAAAAATAAGATGTTGGGCCTCAGCCTGCCAATGGGGAACTAATCTATACAATTGTAACTAGATGCTGTATATAAGTAAAATATTTGAATCACATATGAATCAAGTGCATAAACAAAACGCAACCTTCTAAACAAACATCATTTGGACAGACCACTTGACTTCTATCTGAATACCATCACTTCATGGCAACCCCAACATCTCTGTTATTATTTGGTCTCCTGTCGATGATCCTCCCTTTGAACCCATGGCCACTGGAGCTGATTCCGACGATGTTGATCTGGAAGAATCCGCTGCAGTAGAGGCTTGATTCTGTTGCCTCAGCATTCCAAGGTAACGTTAAACATTTGGATCTGCACACATTATTCCAAAGACTTAAAGAAGGAAAATATTGATGATAATTGTTTCCAAAATTGTTGAAAACAAATTTATTTTAGTACCGAAGAACAACATATAATATACCATAGTTTGATGCCAAGCTGATGGCTAACAGGACATTCTGTTGGGGCTTTAACCCTTAGCCGGCCGCATATGAACTGATATCTGAGGACAGAACTTCGCCAAGAGAAGCTGACGCTTCCTGTCTGCAATCATGTCCTTCAAAAGGCTGAAGCGCTCGCACTTGCCTGGGAGATGCTATATTATGTATATAATATAGATGTTTTTATTTGTTGTATCAATAGAACACTATAGGGTACACAATCCAACTGGGTCAAAATCGTTTACAAACTTACTATAAGCCAATTGAGTTACATGGGTTCGCATTGCATTTGCACTTCTTTGGTAATTCCGCTGGTGGTGGCATGGGATCAACGACCACCACGGGCTTGGGTGGCAAAGTTGCACTGGAAGAGGAACCTGCTTTAGCAGTGGTGGTTTCCAACCATTTTTTGAACTCATCGAATTCTTGTTTGGTTGAAGGGTCATCCTCATCATCAGCGTTCAATCCAAAGTCATCATCATCATTGCCCGCCCCAAGCTTCGAGGCCATCCGGGTAGCCATGTAGGCATCGATCACTTCCTGCGCAATAAAGAATAACACAGAGATGAGGGCCATGCAAGTGATAAGTTGCTGTGAGCATGGGGAGGTCCATCTAAGATAATGCTAAAATATTGTTTTTGAATCGACTATACACAATATTGAAAAGCCACACAATCCCAAATGTCCTTGAGGGTAGGATCCAAAATCAAGAGCAGCTCATGAAAGCGAATGTCCTCAGGGATTGAAGCGAAAAGAAAAAATGTTTTTGTTTGCAAAAGCAGTCAAATCAATAGATAGTGGGTTCATGTATATCTCCGGAACATATATTGATCATTAAATCATATCAAACTTGATTGTATTAGCTATAGTAGGATATAGTAAACCCTAAGAATCATAGCAAATATTATGCATTACCAAAAAAACAAGTAAACAACCAAGTGTTTTGAAACCCTTTCCTTCGTGACTTCTTTCCTGGCTGCGCGCCTCTTTATGAAACCAAGTAGTTTTTTGAGTTCCACTGCCGGCTTGTAGGCGCCATGCTCACCAAGACTTAAGCCAACCTTCTCGGCAAGCAAGGTTATCTCGCGCTTCAAGGGTTCAAGGTGTGGAAGACGAAAACCAGGCGTGACATGAAGGCTTTGCAAGCAAGGTTTCAAAATAGCCTTGTTGTCAACACAGTTTTGACGAGTGGCCTCGCAAAACTTCTGTGTCTCAGGGTGAGACACCAACTGCTTATGGGCCCTCAACTGAGCTCTCACCTCAACTGAGCCCTCCCATTGGAGAGCCAAGCCTTCACACTCCATGATTAACACCCCAAGACTCCGCCAAGAAGCCTTGCAAGCCAATCCAGCTATGAGCCAGGAAATCCCTTCGCGAAGCCGCGCAATAAAAGTAAACACAAACACAAAATTTCAGATTGTTTTCCTCAACTGATATGTGCATCAGCTATTATTTTATGCATCTCTTAACAAATGTTGAAGAATACAGTATATTTCATGAAATATTTATGGTTTGTCCCACAAATCACCTGGTGCCCTAAAAATCAATCCATAACTTGAAACCTGCCATCCAAGGCTGGCATTCGCACACCCAGCAAAGCGCCAATGGGCGCCCGGACATTCATGTCTCCGAGAAAAACTCTTCGATCGAGCAGAGCGGGGCACGTGGAGCCGGATGGAACCATGGGATAAATAGGAAAAGAATAAGTTGAATATGTTGGCAATCATAATTGATTTGATTTTATGAGTCTTGAGGATACTTCAGGGTTAACACATATGAATTTATTAATAGTCCCTGCTTTCAAATGCGACCCTATGGTGTCATGGTCTAAGTGGGAACCACAAATATGAACTTGCAATTGATGGTATGATGATGTTTGATGCTAAATCTTACAGAATCTCACAATGACATCAACATAGCTGAGCCACTTATAAAGTTAACTCCAATAAATCGGTCTTCAGTCATGAAACAGGGTGATAAAGTATTCAAAAACATTATTAAATCAATGAAATTCCCTTACATGTCAAAAAACCAGGTTTAAAAAAAAAAAAAAACGGTTTTTTGTGATAAATCTGAAAATACCAGGTATTTAATTGTCAACCCAAAAAAAAGTAGGTTGAAGACTCAGTAGGTATATATATATATATATACATACACATAGTCATATATATATATATATGTATACATTGTTACATATACATACAAGATGAAAAACCATAATTGTCCACGTTTTTCTGGACCAGCCATATATACCTGCGGCAAAGGCCTTCGTGAGGGCTGCCGCCTTTTCCCGGAAGAGAGCCTGTTCCTTGTAGCGAAGGACCCGGGACCCAAGGGACCCGCTACGAAGGCACAGGCTTGAACTGTTGAACCATTTTTGGTTGGTAAATGTTGCTGGATGGTCCACCAAATTTTAGAGAGATATTACGGTCTATCTTGAAAGAAAGAGAAAAAAGAACAAAAATTCGTAGAGGATCATGTATGTTCGATCTGCCCGCTGGCAATCTCTAAAGTTCGAAAGTTGGAGAGCTGGATATTCTGAGGTACAGATCATCCATAGCATTCTAGAAGAACTAGGGTTATCTATTTGCACGTTCTTGATTGATGGTTCGTGCATATATACTGTATATAGATAAAAGTGTTCGAATTGAATTTGGTGGATTGTCCACCAGAAAATGAGCACATTGCCAAGAAATTTCATGATGAGACACAGAATGAGATATGATACAACCAGCAAATATTAGGCTGGAGTGGTGCGACTACCCGTGACTACCCCCAGATGTTGGCTGGCTGCAACTCAGCCATCCCATCGAATACCTCCCAAAGACCCTTAAAATGAATAGATAATAGAATCATAGTAGATCCAATGCTAAACCAGGCCTTGGTGGTGTATTTTATGTATTTTATATTGGGAAGGAATGTCTCTTCAGCCCCAAAAATTGGTCATGTAGCCCTCTTTACGCCACTCATCCTGGGGTGCTCCTGGGACCACTGTCCGAACATCGATCCTACCACCAGAACCCATGGATTTATCGATCGATTTTCCCAATTCAATGGTCAAGAATTACTGGGTGTAAAACAGTAAATCACCGTGGAGACAAAACCATTAAAAAAAAAAAACATTTAAACACGATTCCTTGTCTGCATAAATCCCTCGTATTGATGCTAGAATCACCCTGAATTGGCTGGTACAATACCGCGAACAGGACGGAAGGTTTCAGGGTATGCTGATGGCGCAGCGCCGCCCAGCCTTTGCGACCTTCATGGCTTCAAGACGGTTGTAGACCTCCCAAGCGGAAGAATCGGTGGCGGTCCCCGATTTCTATCATGTTTCATGAAAGAATGGGAGCCAAGATCCAAGTCTTCTTGGTAAAGTTCCTCTTCATCCCAAATCCCAAATCCCGTCCCAAATCCCGTCCCCTTATCCACCAGATCTGGCGAGGGTCAATGGCAGGGTCAAGTCGTAAGAGTGTGCTGCTGGGGATCGGTACCCAAAAAAAAAACACAACCTGCACTTCGTTCCTGGGACTTAGCACTGGGGAAAACCCAAAAAAAAAACGGTGGAAACACGGCCCATACCCCCTCCCCATACCCCATGTATATGGCCCAGGTGTAGATCACTTGGAAATCGGAAAACCCACGCAGAATCCATCTGCGATACAAACCTCTGTCCTGCGATACATTGTGTGTGCAAGGGTCAAGCAATGACTCAGAAACCTTTGCAAACGGAAGCAACAAGGATAGACTTTAGACATATACTGTGTATATATATATGGGATAATCCCCAGTTCTGTGTCTAAGCCCCGGAAAAGAAAAAACAAAAAAGGATATATCATATAGGGCAGTGGCAAAATCCCCAGCATATCAGTGCATATCATGGTTGCCAGGGCCCCCAGGATATAGTTGCCAGGGCCCCGGAGCGTGTAAAGTCCATGGCCTTCATGCTGTCATTGAAAGACATTCGCAGGTCCTATGGGCCAGAAAAAACCATGGGATATTTCATGATGTGACCATCATTTATGGTTGGGATTACAGGCGGGTTAAAGCAACCCAAATCGGGGGGGATTATTTAATTTTATCGTTTTATTGACTAAATGTTTTTTTCGGGGTCATTCATTCTACACGACCCAAAAAATTGGGGTGAACCCGGGACCGAAGTCATGGGCCCCATTTTAGGCCAGGTGAACCACCTAGGACCGATGTCATGGTCGTGACCATGACTTGGAGGATGATTTGAGGTACCCCAGTTTTAGAAAACCTCCACATACCCTCTGCTAAACTAATATAACTATGGAACATCACCATTTTCAATGGGTAAATCCACTATAAATCACCATTTTCAATAGCTATGTTAAATTACCAGAGGGTACTGTCTGGTCATAGCTATGGTATACACACTGGGTGTGTATGGTCTTATCTGCAAATGAGGGAGACGGAAATGTATGGCCAAGTGTATAGAAGAATGATGATAAGACAGATTTTGGGGGTACCCCATTCTGAGACACACCATGACACACCCATGTTACTTATAACTTACAATTATTCAGTGTATATAAATTGAAGTTTGATGATATTAGGTATCTTCATAGTCTGGTTCTAACTGGTGGAGGATGCCCAATAATCAAAAATAAGTAATAATTACTGTCGCTATTATATATTGCTTATACATTACAATGTTACCCGATAATCCGATACTATCTGATAATTAAAACCAATACAGTAATATACATATTACTTTACCAGATCTGACACAATTTTAACGCGTTAACGCAGAGCTCCCCATATGGCTACCCATATGGTTATGCTTGGGCCACTGGGTGGGTAAGGCACGTCATTTCTCTCAGGGCCCTGCTACAAAATATTACAAGATTACATCCGTCTTTCCAGCTTGTCCTTAGCCGAGGTATTCGAGGCGAGAGGCACGGGCATAATGACAGCACCGAGAGGAACATCACGACACTGGACAGGAAAACATTTTAAACGCAAAAAAAGAAAAAAGAACTTCTGCGCAAGACTTTTGCACCCACAAACTAGACTAATGCACCCAGACCGCACACATCCATCGACCATGATTCAAGCATATTCAAGCAACACATTGAAATCACCATCATTACGTACACAACTGGCCTCCCCTCCTTACAATGACAAGTGCGGAGCGAGGACTCACGACCAGTTGTCGACAGAGAAACGCCCCCTTGCCGCGCTTAGAGCCAATGAACACGTTAGCGCATCGTGTCACTGTCATCCACTGAGCATTAACAGTGGGTTGGCCTCAAACTCCAAGCAGCCCAATCCGCAGCCAATCGAGAGGACGGTTTGAAAGCAACTTGCCATGTGCCCCGACACCCGGCCAACGGTGTGCAGAGCGCCCACATATGGATCCCCCCATATGGTTATGCTTGGGCTACTCTGTGGGTAAGGCACGTCATTTCTCTCAGGGCCCTGCTACAAAATATTACAAGATTACATCCGTCTTTCCAGCTTGTCCTTAGCCGAGGTATTCGAGGCGAGAGGCACGGGCATAATGACAGCACCGAGAGGAACATCACGACACTGGACATGTCACAGAATGATAAGCAGAAGGGAGAGTCCTTTCATGGTCTTGGCGAAGCAAAACATTTTAAACGCAAAAAGAGAAAAAAGAACCTTCTGCGCAAGACTTTTGCACCCACAAACTAGACTAATGCACCCAGACCGCACACATCCATCGACCATGATTCAAGCATATTCAAGCAACACATTGAAATCACCATCATTACGTACACAACTGGCCTCCCCTCCTTACAATGACAAGTGCGGAGCGAGGACTCACGACCAGTTGTCGACAAAGAAACCCCCCCTGCCGCGCTTAGAGCCAATGAACACGTTGGCGCATCGTGTCACTGTCATCCACTGAGCATTAACAGTGGGTTGGCCTCAAACTCCAAGCAGCCCAATCCGCAGCCAATCGAGAGGACGGTTTGAAAGCAACTTGCCATGTGCCCCGACACCCGGCCAACGGTGTGCAGAGCGCCCACATATGGATCCCCCCATATGGTTATGCTTGGGCTACTCTGTGGGTAAGGCACGTCATTTCTCTCAGGGCCCTGCTACAAAATATTACAAGATTACATCCGTCTTTCCAGCTTGTCCTTAGCCGAGGTATTCGAGGCGAGAGGCACGGGCATAATGACAGCACCGAGAGGAACATCACGACACTGGACATGTCACAGAATGATAAGCAGAAGGGAGAGTCCTTTCATGGTCTTGGCGAAGCAAAACATTTTAAACGCAAAAAGAGAAAAAAGAACCTTCTGCGCAAGACTTTTGCACCCACAAACTAGACTAATGCACCCAGACCGCACACATCCATCGACCATGATTCAAGCATATTCAAGCAACACATTGAAATCACCATCATTACGTACACAACTGGCCTCCCCTCCTTACAATGACAAGTGCGGAGCGAGGACTCACGACCAGTTGTCGACAAAGAAACCCCCCCTGCCGCACTTAGAGCCAATGAACACGTTGGCGCATCGTGTCACTGTCATCCACTGAGCATTAACAGTGGGTTGGCCTCAAACTCCAAGCAGCCCAATCCGTAGCCAATCGAGAGGACGGTTTGAAAGCAACTTGCCATGTGCCCCGACACCCGGCCAACGGTGTGCAGAGCGCCCACATATGGCTACCCATATGGTTATGCTTGGGCCACTCTGTGGGTAAGGCACGTCATTTCTCTCAGGGCCCTGCTACAAAATATTACAAGATTACATCCGTCTTTCCAGCTTGTCCTTAGCCGAGCACCGAGAGGAACATCACGACACTGGACATGTCACAGAGTGATAAGCAGAAGGGAAAGTCCTTTCATGGTCTTGGCGAAGCAAAACATTTTAAACGCAAAAAGAGAAAAAAGAACCTTCTGCGCAAGACTTTTGCACCCACAAACTAGACTAATGCACCCAGACCGCACACATCCATCGACCATGATTCAAGCATATTCAAGCAACACATTGAAATCACCATCATTACGTACACAACTGGCCTCCCCTCCTTACAATGACAAGTGCGGAGCGAGGACTCACGACCAGTTGTCGACAAAGAAACCCCCCCTGCCGCGCTTAGAGCCAATGAACACGTTGGCGCATCGTGTCACTGTCATCCACTGAGCATTAACAGTGGGTTGGCCTCAAACTCCAAGCAGCCCAATCCGCAGCCAATCGAGAGGACGGTTTGAAAGCAACTTGCCATGTGCCCCGACACCCGGCCAACGGTGTGCAGAGCGCCCACATATGGATCCCCCCATATGGTTATGCTTGGGCTACTCTGTGGGTAAGGCACGTCATTTCTCTCAGGGCCCTGCTACAAAATATTACAAGATTACATCCGTCTTTCCAGCTTGTCCTTAGCCGAGGTATTCGAGGCGAGAGGCACGGGCATAATGACAGCACCGAGAGGAACATCACGACACTGGACATGTCACAGAGTGATAAGCAGAAGGGAAAGTCCTTTCATGGTCTTGGCGAAGCAAAACATTTTAAACGCAAAAAGAGAAAAAAGAACCTTCTGCGCAAGACTTTTGCACCCACAAACTAGACTAATGCACCCAGACCGCACACATCCATCGACCATGATTCAAGCATATTCAAGCAACACATTGAAATCACCATCATTACGTACACAACTGGCCTCCCCTCCTTACAATGACAAGTGCGGAGCGAGGACTCACGACCAGTTGTCGACAGAGAAACGCCCCCTGCCGCGCTTAGAGCCAATGAACACGTTAGCGCATCGTGTCACTGTCATCCACTGAGCATTAACAGTGGGTTGGCCTCAAACTCCAAGCAGCCCAATCCGCAGCCAATCGAGAGGACGGTTTGAAAGCAACTTGCCATGTGCCCCACACCCGGCCAACGGTGTGCAGAGCGCCCACATATGGCTACCCATATGGTTATGCTTGGGCGACTCTGTGGGTAAGGCACGTCCTTTCTCGGGGCCCTCCCCTGACGGGCCCCTTTTGTTCATGGCAATGGCTAACAAAAAGTCAAAGCCTGCTCAAATCGAATGCGAGCCAAAAACGATCAAATTGAGCAGTGTTCAAGACCCTCTGTCATTCCATTTATACCTGTTGGCTGGAACGCTATTCCCATCATGGATCATGATAACCTCCAATGTGTTTGGTAGTATAATCAACCAACAGGGGTTTTGAACACTGCTCAAGTGGATGGACTGGGAGCATGTCAGAGCACAAAGGCATGCCACTACTCAGCATTGCAAATGTCACACAGCGAAAAGCAGAAGCCAAAGTCCTTTCAAAATCTAAATACCCTCTGGTAAACTAACATAGCTATTGAAAATGGCCATCTATAGTGGATTTTCCCATTAAAAATGGTGATTTTCAATAGCTATGTTAAATTACCAGAGGGTAAGCAAATCCTGTATGTGCTAAAGCTTGGTAAAGCTCATGCGTAACCTGCCCTCATCGCAGTTGTGCCACTTCGGAATGCGAGATTTGCCAAACTTGGGTGGCTCGGGTGACCAAAATTCAATCAGAAAAAAGGTCTCTGTAAAAATTGAACACTTTACTGTAAGCACCAAAAAAGGTCATTTTTCAGATCTGTAAACTGCCCAAGTGACCCACCAGTCCCGACGAATGCCGTGCAAATTGCTTTGAACAATGTCTAAGCCGTCGTAGGTGGCGTTTTCCTGCACTGCAGGGTGATTCTGAGGGAAAAACAAAAAAAATCGAACAGCTTCCAAAAGCACATTGAAATCCTTGAAATCGCCAGAATAAGCCAGAAATGTTTCACATGTTTTTCCACATCCCATTTTTCTTGTTGGTTCATAGGTATCCCGTTAAATATGATACATCCAAATCCCAAATAGATTAGCTGGTAAGAGTATAATACAATAACCCCTATTAATCCTATCCTATTATGAAAACCAATCATTCATCATTTCTCAATGAATTCCCCTGTTGATAAAACCACCTCTATAGCCCCCAAAAAACTGATAGTTATTCTGCTCAGTGAACTTTGCATTCACCAATTAGAGGTCGCTATTGCGCAAAAGGTTGCTGGTCGTTTGCACGGCAAACGCTTAGATCTACTTAGAACTGCCAACGTTTCATACCCTCGTTTAGAATTTTAGAATAAAAATAAAACCAACAATAATCGTTCGTGAACATTTATGAGTCAAAACCATCGTACCCAGTTCACATCGTTTTGTACTTAGCTCTGGCTGCCCATCCTCCCCAGCTGTGTGTTCCTCCAGTTCCTATGGATGATCAATGCTGGAGCGCATTGTTCCTATGGCCTTTCCCTTATTATCAAAAAAATGGAAAAAAAACACGTTTCATAGCCACGGGAATTATCCCCGTTCTTCAGGCTTCAACCAGGTTTTGCTTCCAATATCTTCAACTTATTAGGTGTTCATTGCTTACTTCCAACACCTCGCCCTATCGGCCTCGGTGTCCCTCATGTAATCACTAAAGGGCTGGCGCAGTGGTCCGTCGACCACCACCAAAAAGCCCTGAGTCCAGTCGTCAACGTGGAGCTTTCCTATTTCATGCTGGATTTTTAGTCATCATGGCTAGAACGATGATGTTTAATGATGTTTAATGATGTTTGATACTAAAAAGGTTTAATGATGTTTAATGATGTTTAATGACTTGGATGATTTGGGGTGGCCCTATTTTAAACTGCCATGAACTGATCTTGAAAAGAAAAGCTCGGGAACTGCGTTGCTGACCAACCACCAACCATCATTGGGGATATGAAGATATGAAGATATGCGCACGGCGGGAGCGGCATCCATAACCAGCCACGTAATGAGATAACTACGGCACTAACCAACTTGATGTGAAAAAAAAACGCGTATGATTGAAAAAATTGTGTATACCATGGTATATTACCATCTAATTAAATTTAACCAATGAAGAATGGACATGGGTTTGTCAGGGTTTGTTGAAAAATTGGGGTATATGACCTGTTCGGTTTCAATCTCTGGGTCTGGGAGCACCTGGAACTGGAACCCTGGAACCCTGGAACCTGCTGTTGGGTTGCAAAGCCGGGAGAATGATGAGTAGCTACTGGATCTTGGAGTACTCTTTCTCAGACCAACCCATGTGGGTTTCAGTGACATGCTAAACCTATGCGAAACTTGAACCTTGACTCGAAAATCTGTCGAAATGACATGAAACTCATTGGGAAAATCCAGGGAGTTTGCCCAGATTTTGCCAGTTCGTTTCACCCAGATTTTGCCAAATCCCAAAGGTTGAGAGGATCGGCGTTACCATGCCTGTCCACCCGGTTCCGTTGCATACTGCCATTCGATCTGAACCTCACGATTGTCCAGCAAATACCTCAGGTCACTAGGCTGGAAAATCCATGAAGATCTTGCAAAAATCGATGAACATCTATGAAACATTGCGGCATCTGTGAGAACTTATGAGAATCGTAACTGGTTAATAATCATATTAGTTCACCCAAGTATATACACATAGATGGGATAACCCCACTGAATTGGGACTTACAAGCGATCGGGCTAGAGATTTCACCACTTACGATTCGTGGGATGATCCTCCAACTAGGCCCTTTCAACTTCGTGTGTTGGCAGAATTCCTGGGAGTCTGGGTCAAAACCGCTGGCCCTGGTGATACCCGTGACATACCCATGGGCCCATGGTGGAAGCGATTGTCGATCCACCCCGCTAGGATCACTTAACGTCAAATCAGCAAACGCTTCATCTTGCTTCCAACAAAAAAACCTTGGAATTCAACAAAATAAAGTTGGATCCCCTGACCACATAGATCATAGATGTCCTGCGTCTCCCAGTATCTCCTGCGTATTGGGATGCGCTTCCTGATCCGAAACCAACAGCCACCGGCTGCCCAAGATCCCCCACGTGTTCGGACGTGTTCGCTCGATCTTGTGTCGACCCTTCACCTGGAAAATTCCAGGTGCTCAGGGAATATTTCTAGGCCATGCATCGAACATTGGGATGGTAAAGAAAGCTTTGTGTTCCCCGAGTTTTCCCTCACGTTTTCCAACCTTTCCACCTGCTAGGCGAGATCTGGGGGATACGATGCCAGATAGACTGTCAAATAAAATGTCAGATGAAAAGTCAGATAAAATGCCAGAGAGAATGTCAGATAAAGTGTCGGAAGCAAAGTTTTAGAATATATGCCCGAGCAAATGTCAGAATATATGTCAGAATATTTGTCAGATAGAATGCCAGGCAAGATGTCAGCAAATGTCAGATAAAATGTCGCACAATATATAATTACATATATATATATTATTATTATTATTTAAGATTATGTCAAATAGAATGTCAAAGTATATTACCAGACAGAATGTCGGAATGCATGTCAGTTGGTGATCCGAACTTCATCGGTCAGGTGCGACAGCCTGGTCTGTCGCCACTTTTTTGTTGCATCACCCCATCTTGGGGATTCGTCCCGTCGTCCCGGACACCGTGAGACCCGACCTCGGGGTTCTTTCGCAAGAAGTAGGCCACGTGCTGATCAATGAGGTCCTGGCGTTTCACCCAACGTTGCAATGCGAGGAAAGAAAAAATCGAAAGTCCATCGGAAAAAATCGCAGATCATCACGTCATGGTGAACGTTGAGGGATGAACGTTTAACAGTTGACATCAAACCAGGGAAATTCAAGCTTTCCATCTGGTGAATTTGATGGACCTGCAGGGACCTCTTTCCTGAGAGGGCACAAAAAAAAGTGTCTAAAAAGGCCACAAGCCATTCATTCAACCAAATCCATCCAAGAATCTGGGTAAATTATCATTTTTCACTAAGCTGAAACTTGCGGCCATGTGAAATTTGGGGATGATTCCCATCCTGTTCCCATCATTCCAGGCTTCGGTCGAGACATGAGGTCGTTAGAATTTACCCAGAGCAATCCTGCCAGAGCCATGCAAATCCATGCCTCACCCTCCACCCGGTCCTCTGGGTCGGCTTTGTAGTTGTTATCCTCACATCTTAATTGGAGTCATCCCCCAGTCGATTGTGGGCACAAACCCAACGAGGATGTGTATACACATATATATATATGAATACAGTAATTGTATTGTGTATATATATATATGTATATATATATGTATGTATGTATATATATATATATATGTTTATGTATGTATGTATATATATATGTGTGTGTCTGTGTGTATAAATGAATAGATGTACAAATGTATATATGTATATCTGTATATATGTATATATGTTTATATATGTATATATGTATGTATATATGTATATATGTATTTATCTATGTATATATGTATATATGTATTTATATATGTATATACGTATATATGTATTTGTATATGTATATATGTATATATGTATATATGTATATATGTATATATATATGTGTATATATATATATATATTTGTATATATATGTATATATATATATATATTTGTATATATATATATATATGTATATATATATATGTATATATATACATGTGTGTGCCGTCGTAGCGTGTCTCCAATTTCTTTTTGTTAATGCCCACCCTGAGGACAGGCAAACAAACATCACCTGCCACATGGAGCCCAAGCTTCAATGGCTATGTGACAATGTGTGTGTGCCGCCCTGGTGCCGCCCAATGTTCTCCATCCCAAAGATGTTTCAACAGACCGAAAAAAACTGCCGGAAGGTGAACAACCAGCGAACCTTGGCTTGGATGGATATGTTCAACATGTTGTCAGTCAAAAATGTTGACATCTCTAGCTGGAGATGTTGCTCATTCCCACCAGCAACCAACCATCCTATTTTTTTTGGGGAGGCGCCCAATACCAGATCTAAGATCAACTGAGCAGTGTTCAAAACCCTTTAAGCCGTCCCTTACTGCTTGAGAACGGGATTCTAGTGGATTCAAAAACCAGTCCCCAAGTATAAGAAGTGGTGAGTTGTTCATCCCCAACTAATCATACTAATCATCAACCGGGGTCACCCAACTAATCACCATAGGATCCCATGAAATCACCATGAGCACTCAACGTTTGGTGACCTCCTTCCGATCACCGGCCTTTCGTTCACGATCACCCCGTTCATGCTGATCCGATCGCTCGATCGCTCGATCTCGACGATCCCGCTGGTCTTTGGACGGTAGACGTTCCTGCAGCGATCTCCCGTAGATTTTAGTGAAAAAAAACGAGATTAATGTGGAAGTCTGTTCGGTTATGACCTAAAATTAGATCGAAGTTTTTGGGGACCCACAAACTCCCCATTCACAGGTTTTACTTTGCGAATTTGGGCTCCCCAAGAGGTAGCAGTGTTCAAAACTTCCCGCAGGGTCATCCATGTATAATCACTGGCTGATAGATGTTGGTCGTGCCTTCTCAAGGTCATCATAAGAATCATCTCCAACAAACCAGGTAGTACAACCCCCTTATCATAATCAATGAAGAGGGTTGGTCACTCAATTTTTTCCTGCGAGAGCCCGATGGGGCCTCAGGGCCCAACCCCAAGCTGTCCTCAAATTTGGCCTCCTGTTCTTGCAAGTATTGCTCGCCTTATGTGGCGGATGAACTGCCCAGGGACGCCGTGTGACTAGGTCAAAGTCCTTGCGTACTGAAACTTGGGATGGTCTAATGGTCAACGAAAAAAATACTAACACAAGATCGGTCCTCTTCAAGGAACGCTGACCCCACTTCAGAGCACAAGAAATTGGAGAAGTTTCCTTGCCAAATTCGTACAGCTTTCAGATGTAGCACTGACCACCTCCGCGGTTTCCAGGTTTCCCCGCGCTGCTCCTTGAGTTCACTTTGTTGCCGTCGCAACCATTCCTCCTTGCCGGCGGCTCAACACTGATGGTCATCCATCCCATAATGAACTATCCAAACATAACGAGTATACAAATAATTCCCATGATAATGGATTATCCAAACACAATGTATGTTTTTATCTCTCTACATTAATAATGAATATTAATGATTATATTAATGTAAATGTCCATCATGTTCCCACCATGCTATCATATAATAGGTAAACCATCTATTTCAATGGGTCATCTATACCATGGCGAACTGTGAATGTCATAACCAGGTTGGCTAGTCCATGATTTTTTCCCAGGAAAAATCCAAAAATCCACCATTTCTGAAGTGCAAAAAATCCAGCGAACAGAAATGACCATGTCCGGCATAAAAAAAGACGTCTGGTCACCTCAGGTCACCAGTGTCACCAGGTCCTGCTGTCTGGCTGCTTGGTCCCTTTGTTCCTGGCCCAATTTATGGCCATTTTGCAAGGGATAGTAAGGGATAGTAAGGCATCATGATGAATGATGGTCTTATCCATTGGAATTAGCACCCTATTTTCACCGGTCGAGCGCAAGAGTGTCCCTTTCAGTCGACTGTTTCTTGGTAAATGGCGAACTGTTTCTCGCAGTTCCTTGCAAGTTTCATTCATATTCTAAATATCCGGGAGTCATAGCTGGTAGTTATAACATGCCTAGCTGGTGGTTGGGGAGCATCATTCCGAGTTTTTTTGGGTACGGAAAATCAACAAATGTATTCGAAAACTCGTTTTGGAAAGAACGCGAATCTAAGTAGTGTCAAGAACCGAAAAATCCCTACGCAGTATTGCTTGGGTTTTATGAGGGATTCCCAGTTCATTTATGATAATCCCCAATAGATGAAGTGCATACACGGTTGTTGACCCCAAAATAATCATTGACCAACCGTTTTTTTTTGAAACTGTTCATCTATAAATGGTGGATATTCAAGCTTTTCAATTTTCCTGAACTAGACCCTGGTGGAGTAGTTGGTTCAAATTAGTTTAACGTCTACTTCGTATTAGCTATGTTTGATATCCATACATCCCCAATGTTACTCTTACATAAATAAAGGTGAATACATCCCCATGTTGTTTTTTACATACCCATCATTGTTGCCTTATATCACTACTTTACGGGATATCCCAACAAAGTCCTTCTTGGAACAATAGAGGGGTCGGTCTGGTGGACTGTTGATCGACACTTGTCGAAAAAATCCTAGCCATCTATGGGCTCAGCAAGTCCAGATCCGTGGTCACTCTTCAAAAAAATGTTTACTGCATATATATATATACATACATACATACATACATACATACATTACATATATATATATATATACATTTCCCTTAGATGAAAATCCCCATGTATAAACGTGGCATCTGGTGGCCAATGGTTGAGTTACCATTGCAATCCTAGCCACCTATGACACCTATGGCACCTATGGTCACTCATCCCAGTTCTGCCTTCATTTCTCGCTGTTTTTGTTCGCGTTGCTCCCGTTGCTCACGCAGTCCACGACTGCTCAGGTTCTGAGGTAGGTCCTGGCGTGTCGTAGGTTCTGAAAACGGTGATTTAAGCAAAGAAAATGGAGGTTTTAGCATCAGCCATGTGGATTTAACCAAACTTAGTGCCCTGGTTAACGCTGGTTTTTCGCACTATGGCTGACTGTTCAAGTGTGCATCTATGGCAGCAAAAATAAATCCCCATTGGGACGAATCATGACAAAACCACACAATTTGGGGTTTTCTTCAAACAACAAGCCACCTGAAGCCACCTGATCTGTGACTTTCAGCACCTTTCAGTGATGCGAATTCAGCCGCTTATAAGCCTCTAAAGTTCAAAAGTTTACCATGTCATTTACCATGTCATCATATTTTTAATATATTATAACCAGCTTGGGATATTTTTATATATAATATTGGGATATACTAATAATATTTACCGTTTATACCATGATATTTAACCATGTCTTGCGAATTGAAGCGATTGAAACGGTGTTCCCACACAGCCACACAGCACGACCCCCGGGCTCCGTGGGTTCGGGAAAGCCCTCGGGCTTCGGCGCTCGTAGGGACTCGCGACTTCGGCCATTGCCAGAGACCTGCCGGAGCTTCTTTTCCCAGTTTTGGAGGGACAAATAATTTTTATGTATATGTAAATATATATATATGTGTGTGAATATATATATATATATATATGTAAATATGTGTATATATATATATATGTAAATATATATATATATATGTAAATATATATATATGTAGATATATATATGTGTGTGTGTGTGTGAAAATTTACATATTATATATATATATATGTAAATATGTATATATATATATATGTGTGTATGTATGTATGTATGTATGTATGTATGTATGTATCTATCTATCTATCTATCTATGTATCTATCTATCTATCTATCTATCAATCTATGTATGTATGTATGCATGCATGCATGTATGTATGTATGTATGTATGCACGTGTGTTTGTGTATATATATATGTATATGTGATTTTGTGTATGTGTATATATATATATGCTTTGCATACATATACATGCATGCACGCATGCATATATACATACATTACATGACATGACATGACATGACATTTCATGACATTACATGACACTACATGACATTACATTACATTACGTTACACTACATGACATTACATTATGTTGCATACATATGTATATATATATGATACGTTGTTTCAAACTTTGGAGATCAATGGTTTTATGATGTTTATATTGGTATGTACGTATATTATATTCTTTACACACGTTGATGCTCAGACAAGTGTTGCTGGCACTGCATTACATTACATGGTTGTATGTTATCGAAGGAAGTTTAGAAGTCAAACTTCCGACAATAAGGACGGATGGAAAAGCAGAGGTGGGAAGAGTCAGAGAAGAGAAAGGAAGAAGAAAGAAGATCAGAGAAGAGAAAGAGTCAGAAGAAAGTAGATGCAGGTGTGCAAAAAGGTAGAAAAGTTGCGAAACACTGTGTTTTTCCAACGATTTGGGGCTCCGGATGGTCGAAAAGTGGGCTCGCTAAAGCGGCGGGTGCGGAGCCATCTGGGGAGATGAGAAATGAAAAAATGCGCGCCGTTGTGGCGCGAGGCAGATTTTGAAGTGAACATGCTGAACAGTTGAGATGTGGAAAAAGTGCACACGACTGCGGCACGAAGCGGGTTTCCACATCAAAATGTAAAAACCCTACATGTTCGAATCACTTTCTGGAAGTTAAGATGTTCAAAAAGTGCACGGCGTTGTGGCACGAAGCACATGTCCAAGTTAAAATGTGCAAATCCCTCAGATCCGGAGAACTTTTGGAAGTTGAGATGTTGGAAAAGTGCGCGGCGTTGTGGCGCGAAGCGCATTTCGAAGTCAAAACTGCTAAAAACTGTCAGGTTCGAAGCACTTTCGGTTCAAAAAGTGCACGCCGTTGTGGCGCGAAGCACATTTCCAAATCAAAATGTTAAAACATTGCATGTTCGGAGCATTTTTGGACGTTCACTCGTCATTTTGTGCGGCAGGCGCAAGGAATTCAGCACCTTCCAAAACTGAGCAAAACGTGAGGGCTTTGTAGCAGTTTCAAAAACCATGGCAGGCGTGGGACATTTGAAGACGATCTGCAAAGATGCATGTCGCGTGGCAGGCGCAATACAAGGGACATCTTCATCAAAGATGTTGGGAGGTCAGGGCGCCGATTTCCTGAGACGTGTTGAATTTTGGAGCATCTGATTTTCAGGTTTGCTAAGATGATTTCGCGTGACAGGTGCAGCACTTCGTATGACCTGGCCTCACTTTTTAGCGGTAGGCGCAATACTTTAGAGACAAGGATGGAAAAATCGCAAAACGCATTGGTACGATGCTGCCAGCTCAGCACTCAGCTTTCCATGTTTGAAGGAAGTCTCGCAGCATTGCTTAATTTCTGGATGTGGACAACTTCCATATTTGGAGAAAGTCTTGCAGAATTGCTGTGTTTTTGATGTTGTCAACTTCCAAATTTGAAGGAAAACTCGCAGAAAAGCATCGTTTTTCAGCTTTTAACTTCCAAGTTTCAAGGAAGTCTCGCAGAATTGCTCCGTTTTCCAAGCTTGGAGATAGACAGATAGATAGACAGATAGGTAGATAGATAGATAGATAGATCGATCGATCGACAGATTGATAGACAGATAGTTAGATAGATCGACAGATAGATAGACAGAGAGATACATAGACAGATAGATAGCCCGACACTCCAACCACCTTTCGATCCATCAGTGGGTTCGCTCTGCCATCCATGATTCACAACAACCAAACTCTCCTATAGGTTTCCTATCTTTGAAACTTCCGCCACTGCCTTGTGCGGTACTACTGGTATTATATCATGTCATGTCGTTTCATTTCATATCATATTTACATGTGTTAATAGCACAGGATCCGTGAACTAGCACATTCCATGATCTCATTTGATTTCTCAGATTGATAGTCACCATGAACGAATATTACAGTATTTCAAAAAATTATTCATTTTTTTCAGATTTACAACTGATCTGGAGATACGCCATCTGGAAGTCTAGTTCCAGTCACCTTGGAGCGCGCCCTGCCTTAGGTGTCCTCATATGCACTTTGAGGTTTCCAGCATCGTCCTGAGACCCACGATGCTTAAGCGGGCTCATGCCATGGAAAATCCTCCAGAGATGGACTGGTTGGTGGTTGACCTACCCCTCTGAAAAATATGAGTTCGTCAGTTGGGGTTCCTATTTCCAATATATGGAAAAATCATCCAGTCATGTTCCAAACCACCAACCAGTGGAGGTTTTCATTGGGAAAATCCTCCGGAACTTTCAAGGGAGATTTCCCAGCCAGGAAATCGCCCGATTTTTTGTCTCCTCTGGCCATCCAAACTCCAAGCGATGCGGCTTCCTACCCCTGGCAGCACTGCCATTTGGCACCACGGGAGTGCAGAGAGATATGACCGTATAAATTCATAGAAATATCATCAACGAACATCAACAAACATCAACAAACCGTTAAGCGGCTCTTGTGATGTTTTTTAGTGTCGCAACCAATCATCAAGAAACAATGTTCACTGATGTCAGTTGACGTGCTCCCATTGTGAATCCTCTAGCTTCGCACCTTTCGGCTCCCTTGTGATCTTTGTAAGGATGGAAATCAGCCTGCGATCGGCGATCAGAAATCTGATGACCAATTGGGTGTGTCTGAAAATGATGCATGTTTCCCCATGTTGTGCCATGATAATAAGGAAAATTATGATCAACCATGAAATTTGGAGGTGCCTTGTTTTCAGACAAAACCTTTTTTGACATTTCTGAAGCCGACAAAATCAGCAGCAAGGACATGGGTCAGAGTCTATTCTTGTGCGGTCAAAAGCTGATCTTTCAGCATCTTTTCAGAAATGCCAAACTGCACCAAGTACACCCATTTGCTGGGCACTGCTGTCCACATGGCAGCTGTAAGTCTTACATCTAAGTGTACAGTAACGGCCAGAAAAAGAGAAGAAAACGTCAAGAGCACCTGCCATAGCTGGCGCAGGGGATCATCGCCCGAAATTCTCGATACTTTAAGGGAGTAAAGGGGTGGACATATGCAAGTCCATAGTAAGAAGACATGTCATAGTTCATCAAAAAAACATTGAAACAAGATGAAATAAGTGTATTTTAAGTACATTATCACTTTTAAACTTCATATAAAACTTATCAGAACCTCGGGTAACCTCCCTGGTGTCGTGCCTCCTGGTGTCTCGCCTCCTGGTGTCTCCTTCTATCCTCCTGGTGTCGAGGTGGATCACAACAGTTGCGTGTTCTGTTTTCCTTCATGATTCACCATATAAATAGATGATAGCAGTCACGTGTCCCCAAAAAATACATTCAATTGAACAAGAAAACATGCAAAGACCCTTGGAATGCCGATGATCTTTCCACCAGATGACCTTTGAAATTGGTAGACCTCTTCCAGAAATGATGGAATATCATAGAATGGCTAAAAAGTTGAGATTTGAGATCCAATTCCTAATTGCTATATATTGATGTGTATATATATACACTGTATATATTGTTATTACCCTCTGGCAATCAAACATGGCTTGCTGGAAAATTGCCCATAAAAGCAGACAATTGTCCCATGAAAAACTCCATTTATAGGAGATTATGGTACTTCACCACCTGAAAATAGCCATTATCATGCGGCCATTTGAAGATGATTCCCCGAATCCTAACCATCATTCCGGTAACGTCACAGTGGATGTCATTGTCATTATAATTCATCCACGTATATGTTCAACGATAATCCACCATATTTCATGGTATATCTCCATTATATTCCGATCATATGTCTGGATATCAACTTTTAACTACTACTATATCGGATGTGAACTATTACTATATTGGACATTAACATACTACTGGATACCTATATTGGTTAGGCATCAACCAGAGTCATTGTTACCCCATCCATGGACACCACACCGCCTGTCGGCCATTCATGCCATTCACTGCTGGAGTAGCTGGCGGGTACTCCAAGCCATCAGCCTGCGAACGTATCAGGAAGCCCTGAGATGCTGCGTGAAATGGCTTTGTTTTAATGGTACCCTGGGGTATAGTAACCGCCAACAAAAATGTCGTAAAGTGTTTCCAGGATGGTACAGATAATATTTGCCACATTTTTCCAGGTGTCCCACTTTTCTATCTATGTTGGGGTTGCTATAAACTAACAGAGATGTGGAAAATGGGCCGTTTACGCATGATTTCCCTATAGAAAATGGTGCTGTTCCACATCCGTGTTAGTTTACAGGAGGGTAACATGTCCAACTATAAATAGTGATGAACTGTTTAAATCGACGAAGAAATTCTTCATGAAAATATCTAACACTCAATAGTGAATTTGCACTTCTTATTCATGAAAAATGGATTTCAAATATGTCAATGGTGTAGAATCCCCAATTTGGAGAGGGATTTTACCCCATATCTGTGGCAAATCTCAATTTAAAGCCCAGAAAAATTCAGCGAAATGAGATCCAATAGATTCCACCAAAAGTCGTCGGTTTCGATCATGGAAAAAACTCGTAATTTCCATAGTGGAAGGGAATTTTCGTAGAACAAAGAGCCTGAAACAAATCGCGGAACTGCTCAAAATCCTCAAAATCCTCAAAATCCTCAAAATCCTCAAAAGATCCCAAGTCAGTCTAGGTCTTCAAAACTTCCCAAAATCAACAAACCCACAAAAAATGTCTTGAAATTTACATCTGGCCTATCCAACTGCTACGTTATATAACCCCCAGCCCCTCGACACCCATGGGGCAGCTGGTTGTAGCGTTCCGAGATGGTCAGTGGGTGCCGCCTTAGGAGATGCTCCATCATCTGATGGTTGAGGTGTCTGAAAACTACGAGTTAGGAGATCATCATCCCAAATCTGCTTGAAAAAAGGTTGAAAAAATGTTGAAAATATGTGCACCAAGCAACATAGCTTTGACCAAAGAAATATCGAAACGTAATGGACATGGAATGGACATTGCTTACAATTTCCAACTTTTCAGGTTCAGGTGGCATGGAAAGGAAATAAAACTCTTCCGAAAAATTTCACCTGAACCTCAAAGACTTGAAAAATGAAGTAGAAATTGCTGTTCCGAACTGGCAAAGAAAATGCTGCATGGTGCCATGTCGCAACATTCACTTCCAAAAATAACATCTCCATTTTACGACGGGGTTTCATGGTTGGCGTTGTCCTGTCTGCCGAGCCGCAGAAGCACCACCTGGACAATGCCAGGGATTGCCATCACCGTTGAAAAATCATGACCCAAATTTGGGGAGTTGACACAAAAAATGGAGGACACCCCAAAGTGCAAAAAAAACAAATAGCTGGTTGGTGGTTTAAACCCTACCCCTCTGAAAAATGATGGAGTTCGTCAGTTGGGATGATGACATTCCCAATATATGGAAAAATCATCCATAAAATTCATGTTCCAAACCAACAACCAGTGATTGTTAACCATTATTAACCATTATTAACCATCATTAACCATCATTATCCCATACTAAACCAATGTTCCAGTCAGCACCAACCAGAAATAGTGAATCTATGGGGCTTTCCCAGACAGGCACCTTGCACAGTCGCCCACGGAGGATTGGCCGTGAAGCTGCTCGAATAGAGCTTCCTGTTGTGTTTCAGAAACACGAAGCTAGGGGAGAAGAATCAGCAAAAATGAGTCTAATGTTAAGTGATCAAAGATGGCTATTTCCATGTATCTCTTGAGATCTCAAAGGAAAACAAACGACAAAAACAAATCATACGTCTTATGTTCATGTGCTAAAAAGATCCATTCCAACAATCAGTAATTAGCCTATTTCTGTGTCCAAACATCAGTGTTATGCACTGCGATCATCTTCCCAGACAACCACCCAGCTGGAAGCTGTTTGGCGCGTCTCCAGCCCATGAATCCTGTGGAAGCCCCAACTAAAAAAGCTGTTCATCGCACCGCTGGCAACGTTTCGTACAGAAAATGTTTCGAAAACCTCAAGCCTTTTGCTGCGTCTTTGAACCAACCGAAAAATTCGTGATTTGCCGGCAAAAATGGAAGAGTTTCCCTACGGTTCAAAAGGCCTGAAATGGTGAACGATGGTCGGCAAGATAAAACACCCGCCGGGGCGGACGCAAAGAAATCGTAGAAGCTTCCCACCACACCGTTGGTGGCTGTTGGCCCTAAGCCCGGCAGGATGGCCAAGATAAAGAAACCAGCGGGGTATGGTCATCCCAAAATATGAATCCGACTAAATCAGGGAGATGAAAAATCCCCATGAAAATGAATTTATGACCATGCTCCAAGAACTGGAGATGTATTATCCAAGGACCATGGCACAATACGGCACATATGCTAAACTTCTGATAAACCATGGGTCCCGTATTCCCTCCTGTGTCATCATGGGAACCTCGCTGGGAATCTGCAGCAATTTGGAGATCGAATGGGACTTTTTTCATCATAAATGGATGATTACTGGATGATTAATCATAAATGGATATAAATGGTTAGATCCATAATTTTCCAGTGCCAGGTTTGATTGGATGGTACCGAGATTGTGATTTTCTACATCTCCCACATTCCACCACCATCGAACGCATTTTCGAACGAAAATGTCCTAGAATGGGATCCTCCGCCCCATTCCAGTCTTTTATCGTGCTCCGAAAAGTGCTATATGACATCATATGACCATTGTATCCCCATGGCCGGTAAAAAATATCGAGACCCCAAATGACTCTCAAAGTTCCTCCCAGAGCTCTCCAATCACAGCACATCTTAGGTGCACCTGTCTCCGACTCTTGCGACGATACCATTGACACCAGGCGAAGCCTAGTTGTCGCAGAATGCAAATGGCATTCCCCACTTCGCATGGTGTTTGATTCAAATATCTGGATGATTTATATTGATTTATAGGGATATTGATTTATGGGGGTGTAAAATGGGGGTGTAAGATGGGGGTATAAAATGCACGGTATCAGCAAGAAATGGAGATTCTGACTGAATTCTTTGGGAAAGTTGCCTAATCCCAACCATTGCAGTGACATCGCACCTCATGGATCAAAAACATTGATAAACTGTTTTCAGTCTTAAGCCATCCATTTTGGGCTGATAACCCATAATTCATAACCCATGATAATATATGATAATCTATGATCATCTAATTATTATAATACAGTATATATTAATATATGATAAGCTTGACCCAGACCCATGTGGATATGTCCAAAAATGGATGGAAACCCTGAGATTTTAGGGTGCCCTATTTCAAACAAAGTTCCGGAGCTCGCCCAAGGTTGCAACGTCGGAATGGAACACGCGCGTGCCCTCGCCCTATCTACAGCTGAAGCGAGCCACAAGTGCAAGAGCCAATCGGAATCAGAGACAAACGAGACAACCAGAAAATAGAAATCTGCTGTTTGTCCGAACAAATGTTCTCTACCACTTTTTTCCATAAAGATTGCAGAAGTCTACCACTCAAAATACGACTCGTATTTCGTGCATTTTGTCTGGTGAAGCCATGAGAAATCTGGATGGTTAATCCTTTACCGTTGCACTGCGTGGCTGCGGATCGCAAGCTGAATTTCGGAGACGGGTCCCAAATGGGAACTGGAACAGACCTGTGACCTAGTCAATTCTGAGAACACTTCTGGAGCACAGTAATCGTCTTCACCCCAATATGAAACACCACCAGAAAACATGGTTTGGTCGGGGATTTGCACATAGGACCATTTAGGGGGTGCATGGGGGTTAACACTAGGATGAGATGATTCAGGGCCATCCCTTCTTCAGATCTTGATGGGTGAGGGATCAAAAAAAGATTTAAGGCATCAAAAAGGATCAAAAAATAAATATTGAAGCCATCAAAAAAAACCTGAGAAGAGGGGACGAAAGCCAGGGTCAAGTTTGAACGGGGACAGGAGAGTGGAGAGCATGGGAGGGATTGCGGCGGGGGGTTGGTGGGGGCATCGGGGGAGGGGCGGAGGGGCCGGCATGGTGAGGCTGTGTTGGGTGTGGGCGTGGGGAGCCCTTGGAGAGAAGGAAGGAATGTGTAGGAAGAAGGAGCGGAGGGAAGAAGTGTGGGAAAGGTAGGGAAGGGTGAAGAGAGCGTAGGAGGAAGTGGAACGGGGGGCTCGTTTACCGAGCTGACGGGGCGCAAAGGAGCCCGGAAGGGGAGAGGACGTGCCGGCGGCAAGGAAGAAGGGGAAGCGGGCGCCTGTGGAGAAAGAAGCTCCGTGGTGTGTTTACACACTACACTGTACACTCTACACTTTACACTCCACACTCTACATTCTACACTGTACACGCTACACTGTACACTCGACACTCGTCACGCTACACTCCATACCTTACACTTTACCCTTTACATTCCTCTCCCACCGCCAGGCATCAGCACTCATCTGCCACCTTCACCCTGCGGGCTCCTTTGCTTCCCAGCAGCTACCTAAAAGAGCCTCACTCCAAATGGCCCCCCCCAAGCCACGCCCTTTCTTCCCTCCAATCTAGCCACGCACCTCCCCCCCAGAGCCATTGGCGACCTTCAACATGTGGGCTCCTTTGCTTCCCAGCAGCCACCCAATAGAGCCTCGCCCCAAAGAGCCCGTCCAAGCCACGCTCTTGTCCCTCCAACCTTCTCCCCATCGTACACCCCGCCCCGAAACTCCAATCCGTCCCCTTTATTTTATCCTTCCATTCCCTCTCCAAGCAACTTCACCTTGCCTGGCCTGCAGCAACCATTCCAACCACCCCCGGCCACACACCTCCCCTCTCTGACCGCCAGGCATAATTTACTCCCATGCCTCCCCGGCACCTCGCATCATAACCAACTGTAACTTCCCTCCCATACAGAGACAAACATAGACACAGACAGACATAGACACAGCAAAACGTTCCACACTCCACACGCCACACCTCACACTCTACACTTTGCACTTTACACGTTGCAGTCTAAACTCCACACTCCACATTTACATGCCACACTCGACACTTTACACGCTACACTTTACGCTCTACACTTTACACTCCACACTCCAGACTCTACACTTTACACACTACACTTTATACTCTACACGTTACACTCCACACTTCACACTCTACACTTTACACACTACACTTTACACTCTACATTCTTTACACTCTACACTCTACACAACACTTTCCACTCCACACTCCCCCCTCTACACTTGACACTTGACATTTCCGTCCTTTTCGTCAGGTGTCTCCTACCTTTTTCCTGCTCTTCCTCCACTGTTCTCCGTTTTCCCGCTCCGTAACCGCCTGTAACCTCCCGTAACCTCCTATGACCTCCCTTGACCTCCCGTGACAAAACGTTCCACACTCCACACTCCACACCTCAGACTCTACACTTTACACTTTACACGTTACACTGTAAACTCCGCACTCCACACTTTACACGCCACCTTCCCCACTTTACACTCGACACTCTACCCTCTACACTTTACACTCCACACTATACACCCCACACTCTACACTTTACACACTACACGCTATACGCTACACTTGACACTCCACACTCCACACTGCACACCTTACACACTACACTTTGCACTCTACGCTCTTCACTCTCCGCTCCATACTTTACACTTTACACTCCTCATTCCTCACTGCACACCTTACACTCCACACTCCACACTTTACACTCCACACTTTACACTCCACGCTCTACACTTTACACTCTACACTGTACACTTTACACTCCAGACTCCACACTCCACACTCCACACTTTACACACTAGACTTTACACTCTACGCTTTACACTCCACACCGCACACTCTACACTTTACACACTGCACTTTACACTTTACACTCTTCCCTCTACACGCCTTACTTTATACGTTACACGTTACACTCCTCACTCCCTACTGCACACTTTACACTCCACGCTCCATACTTTACGCTCCACACTCCACACTCTACACTTCACACTCTACACTTTACACTCTACACTCTACACTCCACACTTTACACTTTACACTCCATACTCCACACTGTACACTCCACACTCCACACTCTACGCTCCACACTCTACACTCTACACTTTACACTCTACACTTACACTCTACACTTTAAACTCTACACTCCCACACCTTACACCCTTCACCCTGCGGGCTCCTTTGCCTCCCAGCAGCTACCTAAAAGAGCCTCACTCCACATTGCCTGCCCATGCCTTCAACTGGCCCAGGTGCCCTGCAAACATATCCATGGCACTCTGGCATGCGCCCGGTGCTGCAACTGCGCCCTACTTCTTGAGACAGCCATCATGTTTCCATACGTCATTTCCAAGCACTCCACATAAGTACTACACGAGGAAATTGTAAGCAGAACTACCTTCTGTATCTCTCCATAACCCCACGTGCCACATTGGCTGCGGGAACGCCGACAGCGGTACACGAGGCTAAGTGGGAATGCAAGAACTTCAGCAAAACGGTTCACATGGCGACTTGAAAGACTTGCATGACAATTCGCACTTCACTGCTAGCACCCATTCGCTTTCTCTCCTCCAATGGTTCCCTTTTTCCCCACATTTTCTGCTCTGACTTCATTCCGACAAGCAACTTCACCTTGCCTGGCCTGCAGCAACCAGTCCAACCATATGCAACCCCGGCCACACACCTCCCCTCTCTGACCGCCAGGCATAATTTACTCCCATGCCTCCCCGTCACCTCGCATAACCAACTGTAACTTCCCTCCCATACAGAGACAAACATAAACACGGACAGACGTCGACACAGCAAAAGGTTCCACAACTTTACACTCCACACTTTACACTCCACGCTCTACACTTTACACTCTACACTGTAAACTTTACAACCCAGCCTCCACACTCCACACTCCACACTTTACACACTAGACTTTACACTCTACGCTTTACACTCCACACCGCACACTCTACACTTTACGCACTGCACTTTACACTTTACACTCTTCCCTCTACACGCCTTACTTTATACGTTACACGTTACACTCCTCACTCCCTACTGCACACTTTACACTCCACGCTCCATACTTTACGCTCCACACTCCACACTCTACACTTCACACTCTACACTTTACACTCTACACTCTACACTCCACACTTTACACTATACACTTTACACTCCATACTCCACACTGTACACTCCACACTCCACACTCTACGCTCCACACTCTACACTCTACGCTTTACACACTACACTTTACACTCTACACTTACACTCTACACTTTAAACTCTACACTCCCACACCTTACACCCTTCACCCTGCGGGCTCCTTTGCCTCCCAGCAGCTACCTAAAAGAGCCTCACTCCACATTGCCTGCCCACGCCTTCAACTGGCCCAGGCGCCCTGCAAACATATCCATGGCACTCTGGCATGCGCCCGGTGCTGCAACTGCGCCCTACTTCTTGAGACAGCCATCATGTTTCCATACGTCATTTCCAAGCACTCCACATAAGTACTACACGAGGAAATTGTAAGCAGAACTACCTTCTGTATCTCTTCATAACCCCACGTGCCACATTGGCTGCGGGAACGCCGACAGCGGTACACGAGGCTAAGTGGGAATGCAAGAACTTCAGCAAAACGGTTCACATGGCGACTTGAAAGACTTGCATGACAATTCGCACTTCACTGCTAGCACCCATTCGCTTTCTCTCCTCCAATGGTTCCCTTTTTCCCCACATTTTCTGCTCTGACTTCATTCCGACAAGCAACTTCACCTTGCCTGGCCTGCAGCAACCAGTCCAACCATATGCAACCCCGGCCACACACCTCCCCTCTCTGACCGCCAGGCATAATTTACTCCCATGCCTCCCCGTCACCTCGCATAACCAACTGTAACTTCCCTCCCATACAGAGACAAACATAAACACGAACAGACGTCGACACAGCAAAAGGTTCCACAACTTTACACTCCACACTTTACACTCCACGCTCTACACTTTACACTCTACACTGTAAACTTTACAACCCAGCCTCCACACTCCACACTCCACACTTTACACACTAGACTTTACACTCTGCGCTTTACACTCCACACCGCACACTCTACACTTTACACACTCCACTTTACACTTTACCCTCTTCCCCCTACACACCATACTTTATACGTTACACGTTACACTCCTCACTCCTTACTGCACACTTGACACCCCACACTCCATACTTTACACTCCACACTCTACAGTTCACACTCTACACTTTACACTCTACACTCTACACTCTACGCTTTACACACTACACTCTACACTCTACACTTACACTCCACACTCTACACTTTAAACTTTACACTTGACACTCTACACTCCCACACCTTACACCCTTCACCCTGCG